CATTAAAGAAACTTGCATACTAAATTAAATAAGATCATTTTTTCAGTTACCAGTCATCCACATCAAGGAAGCCCATAAGTAAGCCTAAAGTTTGGTTATTTGTAAGCTCTGAAGACCTTTCAGCAACAGCCAATGTTTCCATGTCTAAAGCAGCAAAAAGGTCTACTGTAACATCTCCTTGTTTCTCATCATCCATGAGGTCCTTTCCAGTTGCCGCAAGATTGATTTTCCCAATTTTACTAGCCTGCTCCTCCCAGGGGAACAACAAATATTAATTTGCAACTTCAAAGGAAAAGGAAAAAGCAGTCCAAAGTAGAAGCATCTAGAAATGATATATGGAAACCCTGCAGACTTGATAAATAGACATTTTTTAGTAAATAAATTCAACAACCTCATCAAGTCTCTTAGCAGAAAAGGAGCTATAGTGATCAAATGCTTCCTCATCCTTGGGAAGTAGATGCGAATATCTGAAAGAATACCATATCACAATGAGGAGTGAGTCAGTGTACATTCAGAAGGAAAGAGCTCAAACAAATTAACTAGAATTACGTCATCATGGCCAAAATACAGTGAGAAAATCATCAGAAGACATGCGATGTCAATACTTATTTCCAAAGGTCTCTCTAGTTGGTGAATTCCAAACACAATAAATAAAAGAAGATATGTATCAAAAAGGAAATCAAATTCGCAAAATTGGATTCGTTGTATTCTAATTTCATCCCCGAACTATTTTTTAACTTAACCCCCTGCCACTGAGGAAATTTCTGTAATCTCATCCCCTCCTCCGCCAGCTAAAAACTCTTGTTCACCGGTGAGGAGGTTGAACAATAGAGATTTCATGTAGTTACAGGATAATGTAAAAAAAGGTTCAGCAGTAATGTACAGAACCACTAAGAATTTCCAAGTTACATTAAAATTCTTTAGCAACTTAATCAACTTCAATTTTTATTTTTATTTCTCTTCTTCAGTTAGTCGTGCTTTATAATGATGGAAGTTGATCACAGATAGCAAAAGAACAACTGGAAAATCTTTTTCTTTTCTTTTTTTTTNTCTCTATGGGGGTAGCAAAACTTTATTCTCGCAGCTCTATCTCCCTCTGTCTCCCCTGTCAGTACATCTATCTATACATGTGTGTATATGCATGTAGGAGTAAGTGGGTGCATGTATGTATATAATAGCAAAGGCTTAATTTTGTGCATCAGTAAATGTGAGTATATGACTAATATGTTTTACTTTCATTAATTTTGCCAAGATAGAGTGTTTTCGTTGTGGGATATTTGACTCAGCCTTGTGCACTGAGTAAAGAAAGCAACCCGGTGGGAGTCGAAGGGCATGTATATACTTGATTTGGGTTTCCAAACTTCTAATTCTTTATTTTGGTTGGAATTATTAAGATTTTAGAATATATATGTACAGTTATGAAAAGCCATTTGGTTAAGATTCAGGTAATAACATAAATTGGGCATCAAAGAAATATGCTATAATAAATGTTTCATCTTTATTCATATTACACTAGACTAAGAATCAATACAGATGGAACTATTCAAACACCCAAAAATATGCGGGATTATTTCCATTGTAAGTACTTAAGATCCAGAACCACGAGGCTGAGATAAAAAATAACACATAGTTTTGGGTTTGATAACTTCATCTTGTTACGATTTGTGGTGTTCACACTATGAGGAATTAGTGGTACAATAATGGATAATGTACACACACGTAATTTCAAGGTTAAGCAATCAGCTATGTCTGCAAACCAATACCTTAGTTTCTCTCCTACCAGAATACCTATAGGAGATGCAACAGAAGTGACAAACAGAAATAATTAAACTGAATAATAAGAGCACCCTGACTAAACTAATCCCAAAAACATAGAGCAGCAAACAACCTTGAGCTCCAAAGAAGATACTCAGAGTTGAAGTTAACTTACATGCTATCAACTTCAATGAACTTTTTCTTCACTAACAAAGCTGTGAGCTGATAGAGCCTTGTCGGTACAGGAGTATTAATTTCAACGCGTTGGAAATATTGGAACTTGAATCCAAGAATGTGTGATGCGTGGGACTGAAGAACACAAAAGGTAGTTTAACTACACATTTCCTAAATACATAAAGCAAAAACAGATGAAAGATCGTAGACGGGCATAACTTGAAGATAAAGGATAAACAAGAAGGAAGACAAGTGCAACACATAGCATCAACAATACCTTCGGAAATATTGGAATTAAGTCCAGGAAAATGCTATTATCAAGCTGAAGCTCAAAACACTCCAACACCTTTTAAAATGCAGAAAAGCCAATAAGAATCAAACTGCATCAAGCTAAACAACAGAAGTACTACAAAAAATTCTTGATGACAACATCGATAAGGAGCTGAATCCAACTTACGATATCAAAAACTCGATTAGGATCCAGATCAAAGTGACCGATCAAAGACTGCAAAATATTCAGTTATATGAAAAAATAAATTCAAGCAAAGGGGGAAAAACAAGGTGTACAATAAATCTAAGATTAGCTTAAACCTTAATAATGCCAACTGTCGCTGCTGATGCATTTTCATCTGATGCTTCAGGAACCTGACAGAGCAGAGTAACCTGAAAAATATCACATATTGTTATGGTTAAATTGAAGAAGAAATATGAAAAGGTTTAATAAAGAATAAGGGAACACAAAACACAGTAACAAAATCCAAGTTCTCACAATATCATATAACATTGAAGAATCATAATAGCTTCACCAACCGACATCAAGTAACCAATGATAACATTAATAATTAGTACAAAATATAGTCTTGAAATAGAAGTATAATAAACAAAAGTTGCATCTAAAGTCTCCCGAAAAAATAACTGATACTATCATTTTTATATACTAAATCAAACTAATGATACATATTCCTATGCACACGTGGAGTACAAGCATTTTTGTGAAGAGTGATNTCAATCTTATCAATACATTTAAATAATAAAAATCAATCATTAAAACATATTTTTCAACAAAACTCATTATTCATCTACTCACATATTTTTTACTACCAATCATTTACATTCATTATTTTAATATTTTTCTATCACATCAGGTTTAATCTCATTTATCTCACATCCATTCACAATCTCAAAACTATTACATTCTTCCACCAAAATAATTCTACTACTCTATAACTCACTTTATCCATTCAAACAATGTTCTCCAAAATTATCTTATATCCAATCGCAAATATCCATTATATGACACCGAAAGAAAGATGGAACAAAAGGATTCTATTAAAACAATTATATCTAACAACGTTCTTCGAAATCCAAAGCCAATGAAGCTCCAACATCCGGAAGACCCATCATACCACATATTTTTATGCACTAATTTTAGCTTTATTCTACACCCATTCCTACGAAATAATATAACATAATAATATAATATGAATCCCAATAAAATCTTATACAAAAGCAATTTAAAACTGTTCATTATCCATATCCATGAATCAAATCTGTACAGGTTCATCAAAAGAAAGCTCATAAAGAGAGCCCCATTTTGTAAAGACACCATACCACCACCTAAGGAAGTTTGTTCCCATTATATGAGTATGCACATAGATAATCAACACAAAGACAACATGGTCACATTGAAAGGCGACAAATGGAGTACAACTATTGAATAGCAGAAAACCCTTCCTCCAATACTCCATCGAAATCCATTAGATAACATAACTAAATGTGAACAATAAAAAGCTTTGCACACACTGGACAGATTGGCAACAAAAAAAAGAAAGAAGAAAAGAAAATACCAGCTTGGCATAGCCCTCGCTTTCTTCGCGTAGCAAATTAAATTTCGTTTGTTGGTAAAGAAGACGAGTATTTACTCGGACCTGAAAGAGGACATGAGATTCTGAAGTGGAAAGACATGAAATACAAAACTATCTCAAAAAGGAAGTGTAAGGAATGTGCTACAATAAATATGTAGCTGAAGCTGAAGCATAAAATACCTCTTTTGACTTGAGATCTGCAGCCTTTATTTTGATCATTTCAGACTCCCACAAGAACTCCTCCTGCAGAAAAGATGTTTCTAGTCAAAGAATATTTTACTTTCAGAAAAATGCAACAGCATCAGAATCAGTTCTTACATCACAACGTTCCTGAAAAAATCTCAATGGTACCAATGTAGACTCCACCAGCCATTTCGCCTAAAATAAATAAGAACCAAGTCAATGTAAAGATGCGAGAAGAGAGAAGATAAATTTTGTCTAATGAAATATAGAGTAAACTTCGCAGGGAATACTCATACTATCATACGTACTTTAAATACTCAACTGTACAGGAAGTTTTAGTTATTATATGTCTTACTTGAAAATTTAGAGTAAATCAGTGTATGTTTCAATAAACAATCCAGGCCATGGTCTACCTACTACCACCACCTACTTTTAGTTAGAACATATACCAATTTACTATGAATTTCCGACATCAGAGTAAGATTTATTGAGATAAAAATGCAAGAGGCGTTTGTGAAATTGTGTGAACATATCTATTCTCCTCCCAACAATTTTCTCATCTTCTCATTTCTATAATTTTCTCACTTCTCATCTTCTCGCCTACACCTACTCCTCTCCCAGAGGTAGTGTATTTGCTCGAGCCACCACACATGTTCCTGCTCATTTCTCTAAATCACTGTTTCAAAAGCTTCTGGAATCTGGATACCCCTTGGAGGTCATACCAGGATGTTTGGTTCATGAACATGCACTCAGGATTGCGTCTTAAGGGGTTCATGATGAACCTACCTACTTATCACTTTATGTGTCCAACTGTCCATCCTTGTTGTTTGGCATACCATTCAGAAACATTCAGAACTGCTACTACTGGAAACAGGCCACAACTATTTTCCAACTTGCAGTGAATATTCGGGAAGTATATTGAAATTGATCCACAACCGAGATGACAAGATTGTTCTGGACGTCGCACAATTATTAGAGACCAATTTTTATTTCATTGATTCAATAATTGGGCTTCCAAGCCCATTTGCTTAGAATGTCCATTAGGGTTAGGACTCTATTTAAGTAGACAATCATTGATACCTTGGGTGGGGTTGATCTTTTGTTAAATTGAGATTGTCGGTCTTAGGCTTCGGGGGGAAGTTTATTCCCGAATAAACACTTGCTACGGGGACATGCGAATTAACATGTTTTTTTTAATATAAATAAATAATATAGAGTTTTAATATTTCTTAAAACCTTCAATCTATCATGCTCACCCTTAAGGATTAAAAACACTAACATCCTAGAGTATCAAGAAATTAATTTT